TTGTGCATTTGAGGCAAGCATTTTACCAAATGAGCACATCCCCTGCCCTCTTTTTGTTTTTATTTATTTATGTATCATTAGATCAGGTCTCACTCTTACAAGACAGCTTGCTGCAGAGGCCCTGAGTCCTGAAACAAATCTCTGGAGCCAAAGGATAGTGTGAGCTCTGGAAGGTTTGCCAATGTGAGCCATTATGGTCTGACCATCTCATCCAAAGGGCAGGTTCCCCTGCTTCCTTCCCAACACCCAGCCACTAGGAGAGTACAGCTGTGATGTACCCAGGACGGAGCCTTGGCAAATAAGCCCTAGGAGGACTCCTTCCACACCAGGCTAAGGGGAGCAGAGTCCTGCTGACTCAGAGTGACCATGTTAGCTTTCCATGAGAAAGGAGGTGGCTCCGAGTCCCCAGACAGTGGGCTATGCTAGGGGCTTCCCAGGCCCACTGGATGGGGTCTGAGCAGAGGGCACTCATGGTCACCAAAGGGTGCAGGCATGGTGAAGCCAGACCCCTGAGGACCCTGACAGCTCATCGCAGTGACTCCAGTCAACCAGTCGGAAAACTCTGGTGAACGAGATCACCCAGTGCCAGATGCACACAGTGAGAGCAATGCCGCTACCACTGAGAAGGCCCCCACACCTTGGAATCACTAGGCACAGGGGAGTTCAGAGCCCTGCTTGGCTCTTGGAAGTTCCTTCCAGCCCAGTTCAGAGACAAATTCACAGAGTTGCCAGAAGTGCCCCCCAAACCCCCACGGCATCGTGATTCCTCCAGAGTGGGGGTCAAGGAGCCCCACCACATGGTCCCAAGGCAGGGAGGACAGGCCTGTATCTCCACTAAGGATGGGTGCTCCAGCAGCCCAGTCCTGATTAGGACAGAGCAGCCAGCCAAGTCCCTTGGGAGACTAAGGCACCGGATGACCCCTGTTGACTCATCACGAGAGGAGTTTGGGATACTCAGGCAACACACGCTGTTGTCACATCGAATGCATATCATGCACATACCCCAAAAGGCAATCTTACAACACCACACACTTCCAGTGTCATGTGCCCCATTCCAGGCATGCTCAGCTACGTGTGCACCAAACAGCAGGAGTGTTTGCCAAGTGCCCTCTGTGGTCCAGTATCAGGAGCTCCAGCTCACCTGGCACCTGTCCATAAGGTGCCATCCATAAGACACCTTTCCTACCTCACAAGCTTCTACTTGCACTTCGGCACCCCAGTCCCCCGCCTGCCTCCTCTTCCTCATCTACTGGCGGCTTTTTCTCGTGACTGTGGCCCATCTGTCACCTGGAGACAGCTTCTCGCCTTTCTGGCGGCCTTGCTTCTACCACAATCCCTTGTTCAATTTGTTCTCCATCCATGACAGCATGTGATTTCTTGGCAAGTAACACACACTCTACCAAGCACCTCAAACCCAGAATAAAACTACCCGAAAGGCACTGGCTAGTGGGGCTGTAACAACTCCCCCCAAATTCCCTGTGGTCCCTCTACTCAGTCAGTTCTACCCCAGACCCAGGACCCAAGACCCTCACTCCCCAGATCCAGTTCCTGTCCATATCTCCGAGACGTCCTGGATCCAGACATATAGTGTCCTTCCCAAAACCCCACCTCATTGCTCTCCTGTCCTTCATCTGTGCCTGGCTTTCTTAGGACCCCTTGTGCTTGCCGGTGCTTGCCACACGTACAGCCAAAGTTGCTGATGCTAGAGAAATATCCGAAGCTTTACACAACTCTAGCATGCCCACAACCCTTCTCTAGACACTACTTACTCCCCCAAAGAGCGGAGGAACCAACGGAACGACGTTAAAAACAGCTCAAGGAGCCCTGGGAACAGCAGTGACAGTGAGTAAGGACCGTGAGGCGTAAACACACTCTGTGGAGCCGCAGTGCCTGGTGCGTAGTAGGGCAGGCACGGGTCCAGACTCAGTGACCTTGAGCAGAGCAAACACGTCCTTCAGGGGTGTCTGGGTGCAGTGTTTGCCTGGCCTTCTTCCTGCGAAGGTGTCTCCGTGCCCCAGCACCAGGCAGGCGCTATGAAGATAGGGCTGTGTTCCCAGACCTGGGGGCAGCTGAGAAATGTGCTGTTTTGCAGCCGCTTCAACACTGTGGACATTCATAAAATTAATTTGCTAAGCAAGGAGATAAATCCAACGCTGTGTTCCCATGGCAACACCTCCCATGCTGCCCAATTTCTGTCCTGGGATTTTATGGGAAGTCACCCTTCCTGGCCCAGCTGCTTCCCTGGCTGCTCAGGGCCCAGGAACTGGAGGGTGGGGGTGTGGCAACTCCAATTGAGGAATGCAGGTCTGGAATCTGAGCTGCTGAGAACTTGCTTCTCTCACCCAGCCCCTCACTCCTCCTGGGTTTTCCTGGAGAGCCTAGGAGACCTTGGATCCAGATGAGGTCACCCGTGCCTGTAGGTCCTGGCAAGGTCAGCCCAAGCCCAGGGTACCCCTACTGGGAGGCCAGCTACAGTCTGTGTCCTGCTAAACACAGGGCCAGGCCAGCAGAGGCTTTGTCCCATCTCAAGGGTTCCCAGCTCAGGATGGCTCACCCGAGGCTGCAAACAGAGGAACAAGGCCGAAGGGGGAGCTCACAGCAGGGAGTGAGTTCAGAGAGCAGAGGGAACCTGAACCTCCCCACTGGTGCCTTCCACCTTTGTGTCCTAGGCGCCTGGGTCCTACAGGAGGCGAGCCCAGCCCCTGCCCTTCTGCTGAGTGTTTTCTAGAAGCTCTGAGGATCAGGTGTCTGAGAAGCTGGCAGCTTCCCCACCCAGCTCAGGGACAGCTGGTGTGAATTCAGCGATGAGAAACAAGCTACTTGGCCTCTGAGGGCTCAGCCCTCCAGAGACCCCTGTGAAGTACATGAACTGCCTGTCCCCCTCCCTAATCTGCCAGTCTGACTGTAGTAGTGAGTCTAGGGGCCAATGGTATTAACCCTCCTCTGGATGTCCCCAGAAACAATCACACCTTGTTGGCACAGCAGGAGCCAGGCCCACATAAGCAGCCAGTGTCATGTCCTGGCAGCTCTCAGAGCGCTGAGGATCAGGGTCAGGTAGAGAGCCTGCCCTCGGGGGCAGGGGACAAGGAAGAGAGATGTGGACTTCGTAGCCAGGTTTCCCAAAGCTACCAGTGTCCTTCCTGAGCAGACAAGGACACAGTTTACGAAACTACTTCAGAAAATCCACACTAGGAAAATGTGACAACTCCAGCATGGGGCGTGGCTGAGACAGGACAGGCAGGGGCAGCGAGGGAGTGAGGGAAACAGGAGACTGCACGCCTCGAGGAGAGGAGGTCAGACATGGCAGCGTCCCAGGGAGAGCTCCATTTGACCTGCCATGCACAGCTGGCTGAGATGTGGCCAAAGCCTCCCCCAAGCCACGTGAATAAGCTGCACAGTCCCCTGCTGTGTATTCTGGTCCCTGGACCTGGGGCCTGTCACTTGACTTCATAGATTCAGCTGAGGAAGAAAGGTATTTAAAAAGCCACGGTTGCCAAGGAGACCACTTCAAACACATCTTATAAGGTTGTGAAAACTATTCCTTCCCCTGGGGTTGGGTTCCATCGAGGTGGCCCAGACAATACACTGTTCATGTGGTCCAGGCCCAACCTCTCCTTCATCTCCAGTCAATGAAAGCTGACGCTGATTGATGTTAAGGCCACCTGAGAAGCAGCGGCCTTCTTGGAAACCTTTTTGCACTGGGGACTTATGGAAAAGCGGGTCCCAGCTCAGCCCCACTGCCTGAGACTCCCCCAAGGTCACTGGCAGTCCACACATGTCCTCAAGCAGCAGATCCTTCTGGAAGATCGGGGGCACCCTGAGGTCAGATCTCACACCTTCACCAGGGAGATGTGAAGGGAGAGGAGGAACACAAAGCAGAGCGGGGGCACGGCCCGCTATTCTAGCACTCAGGAGGCTGAGCAACAGGACGACCTCAAGTTCAAGACCAAACTGGTCTATAGAGTGAGACTGTGTCTCAAAAAGCCAAAGAGAGGACGGGGGAGCGGGGGACACCTTAGAGGACAAAGTGCTCACGGTACAGGCATGAAGACCCGAGTTTGATCCCAGCACACATAGGATATGCTACTACATAAGCCCGGAATTGGGGGAGTAGAGACAAGAGGATCATGGGGCCACCTGGCTTCCTTCCATTGTTGTTTTTCTCTCTCCCTTTCCCCCCCTCATTGAGACAGGTTCACTCCACACAGCTTAGGTTGGCCGAGAGCCCTCAATCTTCCTGCCTCGGTCTTCCAAACAGTGGGATTATGGGTGTGGGCCGTCACATGCAGCATGCATCATGCATTCACCTCTCAACCCGAAGATGAGCTTCTATAGACTTCTAGAACAGCACCACACCGAGGCTGACCAAACAGAGTCCAAACACAGGACTTTGAGAACCGTGGGGGTAGGGGCAGGAGACAACATCGTGGGGTAAGGCTGGGGGCAGATGCCCTCGTGACAGGCAGGCTGGAAGTTCTGCACGGCTCTCACTGGGATGTCAGCCATCATCCTGGGCCTTGGAGCCTGAGAACTAAGCATCTTCTAACGGGTGAATCGTCAGATAGATGTCCCTGACATGATGGTACCTTTCTTTCTAAAATGGTCAGGGATGGCCCCTTGGGTTTGAGTTCTTTGTGGAGCCAATGAAACCAACACACATATACACACAGAGACAGAGTTAGTAGTGCAAAAGGCCAGAGTCGTGGGGCTTCGAGGTGCTGGGATGAAGGAAGTGGGCTCATTCTAGTTTGACCAGAACACTCATTTGCTCTACCCACAGTTCTAGTTGTCTCTTTATCTTGACAGCAGATGACCCTGTGACAGAGGTGTGAGGCTGTCACCCCAGCTCTCCCAGGGGATACTTGGGAGACTTCGTGGAGCATGTAGGATGAGGTGGAGGTGCTAGGTGAGGGGAGCAGAGAGCAAGCCAGCAGCGGCACCGGCCTCCACCCAGAGGCTGCGCAGAGCCCACTGGCAGCACCAGCCTGCACAGGACTCACCTCTGTGATGATGTAGAAGTCATCCCCGGGCTCCCCCTGAACAACGATTTTCTCTCCATCTTCAAACTGCACAGGCTCCAGGGCATCGGCTACAGTCAGGCGTTCCCACTTCTCCAGGGACTCTGCAGGAAGATACAAGGGGTCACGGGCCACACCTCACTACCATGGCGTCCTTGGATACATCTTTAAAAGCCCAGTTCTCAGATCCCTGATGGTGATCTAAGATGGTGATCCTCAGAGGTGACAGATAATGCTGCAGTAAAACCACAGACCGCTGAAATGCCAGATCTAACCCTTCAACACAGGCTGGCTCCTCCACCACTAGCTTCTATCCAAGATGTGCTCTTGAGATAAGCTGCTTGTGGTTGCCCAGGTCTGCATCCCAGCTACTCAGGAGGCTGAGGCAGGAGTATTACATTCAAGGCAGGCCTAGGATAGACAGTGAGCTCAAGGGCAATCTGCATAATTCAATGAGATTTTGGCTCAAATGAAAAAGAAAAAAGAATTCTGAAGATGAAACTCAGCAGTAGAGCACCTGCCTAGAATCCCCCAGTGAGGGGCTGGGGTGTAGCTCAGTGGTAGAGCCCCTGCCTAGAATCCCCCAGTGAGGGGCTGGGTGTGGCTCAGTGATAAAGTACTTGCCTATCATGTGCCAGGCCCTGGGTTCTATCCTCAATACAAAAATATAAAGCAAGATACATTTGACTCCTACTTAATTTTTTCTTGGGAGATAAAGTTTGAAAGCAGTCAGCAATGACTCCATAATGTAAACAGTAGACACTGAATATTGAGTCAATATTCACTTAGACAGAAATTACTTTCTCTCCTAAAGAGCAGGACTCAGGGTAGAATACCAGGCATGTTTCACTACTACTGCATACTCAGCAGAGCAAGCAGAACTGTCCCACTCAGCAGCATCCCTCTCAAGTCCCAGTCAGGACAAGGACTGGGAGGTGAGTGTGTGTGTCTTTCTGTGTGTGTGTGTGTGTGTGTGTGTGTGTGTGTGTGTGTGTGTGTGTGTTTGCATAGGTGCATGTGGAGGTCCAAAGTTGGTGTCAGGAATTGTTCTCCATTGTTCTTCAACCTTATTTACTGAGGCAGGGTGTCTCAATCAAATTCAGAGCTCCCTGATATGACTAGTCTCTTGCTCACCAGCTTGCTCTGGTTTCCCATCTCCACTTTCATCCAGCATTTCTGTGGATGATGGGTTCCAAATTCTAGGCCTCATTCTTGCTCAGCATTTGAACTGCTGAGTCGTCTCCCCAGGTTCTTGTTTGTTTTCGAGACAAAGCCTCACTCTATATTCCAGGTTGGACTTAAACTCACTGCCTGATGGTTAGTTTCAATTGACAAAGTAACCTGGGAAGAGTCTCAAGGAGCGATTGCCTAGGTTAGGCTGGACTGTGTACATGTCTGTTGGGGGAGGGGGTGTCTGAATTGTCTTAATGGATATTGGAAGACCCAACCTAAGATACACCATCCCCTGGTTTTGGATCAGGAGTAGAGCAGGCCAGCTGAGCCCCAGGCACAGACACACTCATTCTCTCTCTGCCTCTGACTGCGAATGTGATGTGAAGAGCCGCCTCCAGCTCCCGCCTCTGTGACTTCTCCATGAGGCACTCTACCCTAGAACTCTTTCTCCCCCAAGATACTTTTCATCAGCGTGTTTTACCACAGCACCAGAGAACTACTACGACACACTGTGGAGCCGAGGCTAGCTCGTGGCAATCCTCTTGCCTCAGCTTCCTAGATGCTGGGTTTTCAAGACTGAGCCACCACGACAAAGCTCTGATGCAGTGAGACTCACAAGAGACACACCTGCCACTATTTTAGGCAAAGATATTTCATCCTGATGCCAAGGAGTTGATCTTTAAAGGCGTGTAAATGCAGCGGGCCCCTGCAGTCTGCAAATGGCTTCCCTTCCCTGGCACTGTCCAGCCCCAGCCCCAGGTTGGAAGAAACACACAATAATGAGAGTTTTCTGTGAGAAAATCATGGTCACCTTTTTAACTATACCCCCTCCCTGCTCCCTCGCAGAGAAAGAAACCTTTCTGGCCTACGCGTCGACGTGACATATGTAGGCCAGCTGCTAAAAATAAAAATTTAAAAAGGCATTCATTTTAGATCTAGGTTAGCAGGGAAATATCTCTCCCCTAAATCCCCTGCCCGTGCCCCACACAGCAAAAGGGCCACATTTCCCATGAACCCCGGGCCACAGGGAACCCTGCCATGCATGACTGAGTCTACTCCAGCTGCTGCAGCGGCTCCACTTGCCTCTCTTTTTCCAATTCCTCTCTCTCTCCTCTCCTCTCATTTACTGAGACACAGTCTCACAGAGTAGCCAAGACTGACTTTAGAACTTTTATAATCCTCCTGCCTCAGCTTCCCAAGTGCTAGCTTCACAGACTTATACTGCCACACGTGGCTTGCTGCCAGCCTTCTTTAGAAAGTGTTTGACCAGGCCTAAGTGGCCCATGCCTGTAACCTCAGCGCTTGTGAGGTGGAAATCACTGATCATGGAATGTTAATGCCAGCCCTGACTACACAGTGAGTCCGACTCCAGCTTGTGCTGTGTGGTGACTTGAGTAGGGATGGCCCCATAGAGTCATATATTTCAATGCTTGGTCATTAGGGAATAGTGCTTCTTGAAAGGGATTAGGAGGTGTGGCCTTGTTAGAGGAGGTGTGTCACTGGGGGCTTTGGGGTTTCAAAATGCCAAGCCAGCTCCAGTGTATTTCTTCTTCCTGCTGCCTTCTGATACAGATGTACAACTCTCAGCTACCATGTCGGCCTGCACGCTGCCATGCTACCTACCATGAGGGTAATGGACTAAACCTTTGAAACTGCAAGCAAGCCCTAATTACATGCTTTCCTTTTGTAAGAGTCACCATGGTCATGGGGTCTCTTCACAGCAAAGAAGCAATGGGTATCATCCACTGTGGAATAAGGTCATGTTTGAAGAAAATTATGGTCAGTGTCAGGAAGGAACAGGTGCAAAGCAGCACTGTAATGTTCATGTGGAACACTATGTGCAGTAAAGGCTGCAAGTTAGGATGCTCATCTGCCGGTGAGAGGTGTGGCTCAGTGGTAGAGCACCTGCCTAGAATCCCCCAGTGAGGGGCTGGGGTGGGGCTCAGTGGTAGAGCCCCTGCCTAGAATCCCCCAGTGAGGGGCTGTGGGTATAGCTCAGTGGTAGAGCCCCTGCCTAGAATCCCCCAGTGAGGGGCTGGGGTGTGGTTCAGTGGTAGAGCCCCTGCCTAGAATCCCCCAGTGAGGGGCTGGGGTGTGGCTCAGTGGTAGAGCTCCTGCCTAGAATCCCCAGTGAGGGGCTGGGGTGTGGCTCAGTGGTCACCTGCCTAGAATCCCCAGTGAGGGGCTGGGGTGTGGTTCAGTTATAGAGCACCTGCCTAGAATCCCCCAGTGAGGGGCTGTGGGTATAGCTCAGTGGTAGAGCCCCTGCCTAGAATCCCCCAGTGAGGGGCTGGGGTGTGGTTCAGTTATAGAGCCCCTGCCTAGAATCCCCCAGTGAGGGGCTGGGGTTCAGCAATGAAGTACTTGCCTTGTATGTACAAAGCTTGGGCTTTAGCAGCTACATCTCTCTCCACTCTGTCTCTGTCTCTTGTCTGTCTGTGTGTGTCTCTCTCTCTCTCTACACACACACACACACACACACACACACACACACACACACACACGTTTTTAAGCATAGGGTTCAGCCCTCCTCCTTCCACCAATGGTATTTAAAATGCATACTATTCCAAGACTGGAAGACAAGACTTGACATAGCATTATCTCCTAACAGCATAAACCTTGACTGAAAACTGAAATAACTGAAAGGGAGGCAGCCAGTACTTGGCCCCAGAATTTTAAAGCACATTTCAGAACAATAAACTACTTGCATAGAGAGAGAGGCAGGAGGGGGCTTTGCAGTGATCTGGCTGAGGGGCGCGGATGGGGAGGGGCTGCCTGTGGGGGATGAGCTTCTGCTGCAGCAAAGAGCTGGTTCTAGGTAGATAGTGGGTTTTGCCCTCCCCGAGGCTAAGCTTCTCACAACACTGCAAATGGCCAGTTCTGTGCCTTTCAAGTCTCACCGCAATGAGTAAGTCAGTACTGCAGCAGGAAGGGCGGGAAGGGGAGGCACCTTCAGAGGGCAGCAGGACAAAGTGTGTAAAGAGCCTCTGTGTGTAAGAGGCCCTGAGAGGGACAGGTGCCTCGCAGAGCCCTCCCCGTCCTTCGTCACTCAGAACAAGATTCCCACCATCCTCTCCAGAGGTCTCTGAGCTACTCACCTGGGCACGTGAGCCCAGGATGCAATCTACGACCCACAAGTCTTCACAGGCCCTAGGGACAGAACACAAAGGTGGCTTGGAAGGGCCATGATGTCACCGAGGAGCCTTGCTCAAGGTGAGCCAAAATGGTGGGGGAAGACACTCAGCGCATGACTCCAGCGGCGAGAACAAAGAGCCAGCTTTCAGCTCAGAATCATGGCGCTGGCATGGCGACAGCAAAAGCAGCAGGAGAGATAAACACACACAGTGTGGGATGGGCGGGGGCGCTGGTGGGACGGCATTCGGGCTCACACGTCATAAGGTGTGTATGCGCCTGTGTAAAGGTGTACCGTGAGTGTGTGCATATACTGCCGTGCTGCGTGAGTGTGTACGGTAAGCATGTGCCGTAAGTGCGTGTCTACGTATGAACGTGGACACACATGAGAACATGCCATATGTTCTTCGTGTTCATGTGCACCGTGCACAAGTGTGTGGTGTAGGTGACTGCGTGGTATGTGTGTGTACGAGCATGTATTACCACTCCTGTGCGTGCCGAGAACAAGTATCTGTGTGTGCACGTGAGCGTGCATGTCCCAAACCTGCATGAGCAGAGATGGCCTGTCCGCCCCAGAGGGAGAAGCAGACACGGACTGGCTGAGCTCACGGGAGGCTACGGAGAGGCCAAGGGCCGCAGAGCCACTGACCTAGGATGGAGACTTTGCTGAGGAATTCCTCATACATCTTGCGTTTCCTCAGAGTGCTTCCCTGTGAAAGAAAAAGCAGAACAAAGAAGATGGGTCTCCAGTCTCAGTCGGTCTCTCAATGTTTGCGGATTTCTCTGGAGAAACCTCTCCAGAGGAAGCCAGTTAAGCACGCCTCCGAGAGCCTCTTTCTCCTACCTTCCACTCTTTACCTTCTAAAGCAGCTCTGGCACCATCAGCAGGAACCTCAGTGCTGCTTCCTGGGGTCCAACCTTGAGCAAGCCTCCCCCCAAAGTCTCCGAAGGTAGACATGACTATGCCCACTCTGCCCTTCCCAGGTAGGCTCTAACTGTAATCCCCCGGTCTCAGCCCCTTGACTTGCTGCCTCCCATTGCAGCAGCTGGGACCCTGTTATTCCCTAGGTCTCCCCAGGCTCAGGTAGTGCGGTCCTCCCTCTGCCTGCTAAGATGTACAGTGGGAGACGCATGGAAAGGGGAGATGGATCAGACGTGAGAGGCAGGACTGATACATGGAGGCCTGCGGATGCCTGAGGCTCTCCCTAAAGCATGCCTTTAGAGCGACGTGGCTCGGCCTTGCCTGAGAGACCTGCAGCCTCAGGCCTGCATGGGGTGGAGTTTATAACACACGCCTCCCTCTTGCGGCCTGACAGCAAAGCTCCGAGCACACCCGCACAGCTTGCAGCAGCCCTGAGAGGGAGCAGAAATGGAGAGACCAGCACATTGCAGGCTCAGAGTTGAAGCTTTGGGCATTAAGAACAAGGCAGAACCAGACATGCTGCCCTCTCTTGACAATGCCCACTGACGGGGTGAACCCAGGCTATGGCTCTGTTCTGTGACAGCAGGATCAGCCAGATGTAAAGGATGTTTGTGTCTCCATCAACTAGGCTCCCTGTGGGTGGTCCTGACACAGGGGAAACAAGGGTTTCGGTTACGGAGAAGCCCCCTCCACAGGGAAGGTGGGGACAGCCCATGGCCCCAAATTCACAGTCATGAGTCAGTGACACTGTGCTGAGGGTTAAAAAGGACTCTCAAGGACTGAATTGAAGGCACGTGGCAGCAAATGCCAGTCCCCGGAAAGCTATGACAAAAATGTGAGTGGCAGTGAAGTGAGGAAGAAGGGCCCTCGAGGCTCTCGGCACACCACAGCTTCCATGGGCCAGACCATGGGTTCCCCCTAGCTATGTGTAAGGTCAACCTTCTTGCCTCCCTCAAACACTCAACAGTCCTGGCTTCACCTCCTGAGCTCCAGCATCAAGAACACAGACGAGGAGGTTGATGCAGGCTTCCTATTTCCAGAAAGAATAGGAAGCCTATTGTGGGTACCACCTGAGCCCTATGCCATAACAGGGTTGAAGATTCAGGGTTACGTCTGCCTTCCCATGTCCTCCCAGGGCCCCACATAGAAGATAGCCAGGCTAAGTTTCTGAGGGAATGGACACTTCAGTCCAGGAAACACGGGTAAATCTAGATGTACTTTCCATGTCACTAGTACTGGGGAAATGATATTTTTAAAATCAATAAATATTCCTTAAGTTGTTGCTACTTAATGGGGGTGGTGGCCGTAACAGTGTTGATAACGGTGATGACGATGGTGATGGTATTAATGGTGATGGTGGTGATGATGGTGGTGATGATGCTATTGATAGTCATGGTGGTGGAGGTGATAGGGATGTTGGTATTGATAATGTGGATGATGATGGTTTTGGTGGTGATGATGATAATGAATGTTATTGATAGTCATGATGGTGGTGATGATGGTGGAGGTGATGACAGGGATGATGGTGCTGATAATGTGGATGATGATGATTGTTTTGATGGTGATGATGATACTGATGGTGGTAATGATGCTATTGATTGTCATAATGGTAGTGATGGTGACAGTAGTAACAATGTAACCTCTGCTTTGCTTCCTGCTCGGATACAGGGGGTATCACCCTGAGACAAGCCCTAGTAGCCAGAGATGAAATGAGTCACTCTGTAGGTAGGTACTAATAGGCGCCAGCCCCCTGCACCCCAGCCACTCCCAGGAGCGCTCTCTTCTCGGAAGGAGGCAAGAGGCTTAGCCAAGACCTTGCCCCAACATAGCTTTTTATGTTCCCCCCAGCTCTAAGGGATGCTACTATTATATCTCTACTGGATTAGGAGCAGAGGCTCAAAGAAGAGTAACGCCTCGGTTCCTGCAGAGTGAGGGGCTGAGCCGGGTGTCCTGAATAGAGTTTTCTATGTAGAGCAGGCTGGCTGCTAACATAAGAGACCTGCCTGCCTCTGCCTCCCGAATGCTGAAATGAAAGTCAAGGACCACCACACCCAGCTTCTTTTCTTTTCTTAGTTGAAGCATACTTTCTTTCCGTAGCGCACACTAGTCTGAAACTCACTGTACTCCAGGCTGACCTAGAACCTGTAACTCTGTCTCAGCCTCCCAAATGCCAGGATTACAAGCATGAGCTCACACAGCATGCCACAGCGCATTCTCCTCACTCTGCGTCTTTGCTCCTGTGGGGGGGAAAGCTGTGTCCCGGAAGCCACTGCTGTGTGCTGTACCGTGTGGCCAGCCTCCATCCTCACCCTAGACTGAGAGGCTCACCTACTGTGCTCAGGCTTGGAGCCAGTGCCCAAGGTGGTTCAGTCTGTTTTATGTCATATCATGCTGTCATCACCCTCCCATGCTCCTGTGCAGGCCAAGTAGCCAGCAGCAGCTGTGTGCAGGTAGCTTTCGGACAGGCTTCAGTGCAGAGGAGAAGGCTCGATGCTGCGTGGCGAGCCGTGCACAGGAGGGCCTGGCTGCCATGGATATCTCCTCCCTGGGTGCCTGCCAGCCGATGACAGAGGCAGCCCTTTGCTCTTTCTGCACTCTGGGACACTCACAGTGTGATTTCCATGGCAGGGCACCTTTCGAAACACAGGCAGGCACCCACAGTCCGATCAAAGCATGACAAGGCAAAAGGGAAATCTATCCCTAAATAATCATGTACCAACCATGGAAGGGTGATGCCCATGACTGAAACACACAGACACGAGCAGCCACCTGGCTCTTACCAGCCAGACCCTATCACTGTGACCTGAGGACCCTAGCAGGGTGGGGTGGACAGCCCAGAAAGTTCACACTTGAAGACCAGATACTCAGGTGTCTGGAAAGAAACCAGCCTTGTATAACAGTTGGGGTGATGGAGGAGAGGCACATGGAGGACACAGAAAAGGCACTGGGCAAAGCACAGGGTCAAGCCATGGCACTCTGGGGTAACACACTGAGGTGGTAGGTGTCATTTCCAAGATTCAGAGGCTGCCAGGAGCCTTGGGTGACTGTAAGTTAGTGTGGGGATACACGCAGAGTTTGGAGGGGCAATCCACCAGCATGCCCAGTGCCCCATAACCGGTCACAAGCCTGGGGGAAGCTGAAGGATGACTCTGAGCTTAAGCTAGCTGAGAAAGCCTGGGGTCAGACCTCCAGCCTCACTGGCCTCTTGAGCTCGTGCGATGAGAATATTAAAACCTACCCTAAAGGGTCTCAGTGAAGACTGGCACAGGATACTGTGACAGGACCCCAGACCTTCCCCCAACCTTGGGCCTGAACTTCCCCATCATATCTGGTTCAGACCAGCACTAATAAGCCCGCAAAGTCCCAGAAACCCAGAGTCACATGCCACCGAGCTCTCTGCTTCCCAAGGAAAAAAGTCCTGTGTTATCTAATCCTGATTGTCAACCTGACAGGATCTAGAATCACCTAGCAAATAAATCTCTGTGCATGTCTGTGAGGGAACTTCCGGACTGGGTTACTAACACATGGGAGGACCCACCACTATTCTGTGGACTGGGGTCCTGAACTGAATACAAGGTAGGAAGAAGGCTGAGAACTCTCTCTCTCTCTCTCTCTCTCTCTCTCTCTCTCTCTCTCTTTCTCCTTCTCCCTCTTCTCCTCCTCTCTTCCTGACTGTGGATGCAATGTGACCAGATGCCTTACCCACCTGCCCACCATGATGAACTGTACTTAAAGCTATGAACCACAATAAACTACCTTAAACTGCTTTTGTCAAGTGTGTTGTCATAGCAATGAGAGAAATAACTAATTCAAGTTGCTCCAGGGCTGGGGACTTAATGTCCAGTCGTGCCAGGACAACTTCATTAAGTCGTCTTCAGCTATCTGGACCTTGATTGTGAAACAACAGTTCAGCCACTGGAGGCTGGAACAAGTCTGTTTCCATGACAACAAGATGGCACAATTGGAAAGCCAGTGTCCAAGCTCCGGTGACACAGAACTGTTATGTCTGCCCATCGGTGAAGGTCAGGGTGTCTGTGGTGGCAGCAGCCTGCTCGGTGACCTGGCCCAGGCCATTTTAATCCCATCCAGCCCTAAAAAAAGCATCTCTTTTGAAAATGTGCAGTCCCCACTGACCACCTAGCAATTATGCCCTGCCGGAGGAATGTAGGCAGGCTGTGACCCAGGAACCTCACGGGCTAATGTTGGAGCAGCAGGAAGGATAATGCTGAAAATGTTGTGGGGCCTAGGGAAGTGGTCAGGCGGCAGGTGAAGCCAGCCTGCTTTGTTCCTAGACTGAGCAGTCATCTGCTAAGCCTCTTGATGACACGGGGATCCCCTGCTTAGCAGGCTTTTACAGCGTGCACGCATGCACGCACACCAGCAAGATGGCTCTTCATCCTAGGAACCTGCCTATAGAGTCTACCTCAGCCTTCTCGTTGAGGAGCCTGCCTGGTACAGAGACTCCATCTGCCTGTCCCCTTGGCAGCTGCAGCAAGCCTGTCCTGCAATGGTTAGTATTGTCGACTTGACAGAATATAGAATCTCTGGAAGCGAACCTTGCGGGAGGGTGGTCTTAGTTCAGGTGGTCTTAGTTCACTGAGGACAAGTCTTGGGGAGACTGTCTTGACTGGGAAACGGGGGTGGGAGCACTCACTTGGAATGTGGGCAGCCATATATTAGCCCTGGACTGAGGCAGAGAAGAGCGAACTGAGCACTGGCACCCGGCGCTCTCTGTCCCTCTGCCTTGGATGGGATGTGTCCAGCCACGGCTGCTGGGACCTCCCTGCCTTGGTGGACTGTACCCTGGAACTGTGAGCCCAGACAAAGCCTTTCTTCCCTAAGTTGCTTTTGTGAAGAGTAATTTATCATAGCAATAGGAAAGAAGACAGAAACTGACCTCAGCAAGAAAATCCCTATCAGAATTCCATAGCCTGGACCTTGAAACACAGAAGGGCAGAGCAGGGACTCACCTCCCCCGGTCCTCAGGGCCTTTCCTCACCCCCAACCCCCAGCAGAGAGTGAGTGCCTGACTTTGGAGGCTGGCTTGGAGGATCTCTCTGGGCCCAGGAGAGGAAGACAGGGGTGGCAGAAAACGCCAAGGGCCCACCTTGCTCAGCGTGGCCCAGGTAGGACAATGAGATCAGGATCCAAGATCCCACCCTCTCCTGCCACCCACAGTGCTGTTAACTGCACCCTATCCGTGGTGATCTCTGCCTGCCCCATGGGTCAGAAGAACTGGAACCAGAGATGAGTCCAGCTCTCAGCACCACCTACGCCGGCAGGAGCACCTGCCCGGGACAAGGAGCTGGCCCCAGCAGCAGCTTCCCATCACTGGGAACCTCCGAGCACATCTCCCACTCCCGAGGGCTCAGAAGTCTCTCGGTCACTTACGTGTGTGTAGTTTCTCGCCACTTTGGGGTTCTCGCTCTGGGCAAGAGTGGAGGGATCACCTACTCCCAGGCTGTGAGAACCTGAGCCCGCCACCCGCCTGCTGGGAGACGCTAAGCTCATCTCAGAAACCTGACAGAAGATGGCAAGCGAGCCTGTTAAGGTCGCAGGTGCGCTGCCACCTGAGCTATGAAACAGAGTGCTTGGTTCTCTCGGAGGCGGCTTAGAGTTAGTCAGGACCGGGGTCCTTCCGAGTCAGTGGCATTTGGAATGGACTGTCATATCTGCTTGCGACACAAGTTCCTGGGGACTCAGGAGCCTTCATGCAGAGCCCCAGAAGATGCCAGTATGACCTCTACCGCAGTTTGGTTTCGTATACATGACTACTTTCTTTTTCTTTTTTTCTTTTCTTTCTCTCCCTGGACTTCTGACCCCCCTGCCTTCACCTCCCGAGAGCTGGAATTGCAAGCATGCACCAATGTGCCTCGTGTAGGCAGCGATGGGTATGGACCCGGGGCTTCGTGCCTCTTAGGCAGGCCCTCTAGCACCAGTCACGTCTAGCCCCCTACAGGGAATTCCAAACTCCCTAGTTGTAGATGCAAGGTCCCCAGTCAAGGGACAGGCGAGCAGAAGGCCCGAGGCTTAAATAGGAGGAAAGAAACAGACTGCGGGTGTCTGCTGAGCCCTCACCTGAGAGCCTACAGATGGCAGCGCACCCCCGAGCTCTGCCCAGCGCTGGGCACTGTGTGTCCCTCAGAGAAACAGAGCAACAGGAAGAGACAGAAAAGTTCCGAACTAGAAGTCACGAGGTTCCAACTCAAACGTGGAATCTGAGCTGACCTTGTGGGATGCAGCCGGCTACCGGGAGATACTGATGACATTTTATTTTCTACGTCTCCCGCTGTGAGTCCCAGCTATACGGCAGGAACCCTCAGCGGCGTGTGGTTCGGACCTATCCAAATCTGCCCAGATGGGGAATGGGTGCGGACAGGATCCAAATTCTCCACAAGAGCTCTGCGGATTCTGGAGCCCAAGCAGAGCTATTCTTAGTGGCCGGGGATCCGAAATTAACCCAAAGAAAGTGCCAGCTCCCTCCGAGCTTTTGAGAGCATTCCTGAATATAAAGTCCTAACCACAAAAGTCCCACAGCCAGCAATGACACAGCACAGACAAGACAGTAGGGAAGCAGCTGCTTACGCAACTTCAGGCCAGGTGCGCTCAGAGGGGCGGGGGGCGGTGTCCTCTGGCAGAGAGGACACCCCACAGCACCCTCCCACCAGGACAGGCAGGTCCCTGCAGATGTGGGAGCATGGAGACAAAGGAGGACAGTGCTGCTCGTCCCTGAGGAGCCCTGTGTTGAGTATGCCAGGCCCTAGGACACCTGCCTCCAAGGCAGTGCTGGCCCACGAGTGTGTCCTACAGAAGAGCTGGCATCACATCAAGACCACAACAGGATGAGCCCTCCGAGCCTCAGTGACGGAGCACACGGCCTCCATCCTGAGCTATTCCGGGGAACGTCTCCCCCACGGCGAATCTCAGTTTCCCCTGTCTATCTCAAGGATAACCGAGTCCCAGTTGGTCCCAGGTCCTTCTGTGACTCCAGGAAGCTCAGGGATCAGGAGGGGGAGCTCCAGAGGAGGCTGTGGGTTTTCAGGATGGAGCGCTCCTGCTCCTTAGGACAAACCCTTCATTCTCTTCTCGTTGTGTTCCCCTCATATGGCTCCACCCCACACACACTGCAAGTAGCAGTCACCGCAAGGCCTGCGCACTCTCTGTCCCCATGACCTATAACTCCCATAGGCAGCCTTTCAGCCTTGGCCCTCATGTCACCTTAAAGGGACCCTGGGTTTTATTCTCCAAGAGATGTGGTCCAAGACGGTAGTGCTGGAGAGCCAGCCGTTACAGCCACATTCTAGAGTAGCTGGAAAGAGAGAAGGGGGGACGCAATAAAGACGCTCCCCGCCATCGTCCTGCTTTGAGGAGCTTCTGAAACCCTTGTGGTACTTTCGGCTCACATCCCAGGCTGCGTCCAGTGGGGAGACCCATCTTCGCCCTGGCCCTGGCCTCCTGGTTGGCGTCAGACCCTCCCCTGGAGGAGCCTGCTGGCCAGGGCTCACTCACCATGAGGATGCGCCGGTAGCTGTCACGGTCGATGCCCCAGAGCTTCAGGTCCGTTTTGGCCTTCACGGTGGCAGCCCTGGGGGTGCCGTAGATGAGGGCCAACTCTCCAAAGCTCCCGCCCTCGCTGATGTTGGTCACCCACTCCCCATTCACGTATACCTTCAGAGAAGAGGAAGGGGAGGTCAGTGGGATTTGTGGATCACAATGGCTGCTTCCTTTATGCGGAATCCATAATTCTCCCCAGTGGGAAAGACTGGTGCAACGGCTCTGAGCCACTTTTCATTCATTCATTCATTCATTCATTCTATTCATTCGTTCATTTTGAGATAGGGTTTCTCTGTATAGCCTTGGCTGTCCTGGACTCACTTTGTAGACCAGGCTGGCCTTTGAACTCACAGAGATCCGCCTGCCTTTGCCTCTCCGGGTGCTGGGATTACAGGCATGTGCCACCGCACCCATCTTGGGCCACTTCTTACACACTGTTGCCCTGGAGGTAACCTTGGGCTGGTGTGATCTGCTCCAAGGAGCTCCCATTGCACCTCATCCCAGCCTAGTGAGAGCCACAGCTGGGAAGCACCGGGCCTCCAAAGGACCAGAGGGCAGAACACGGTGTGCCCCAGCTGCCTCCTGTGCTGGTCACCTACCCAGGGCTCAACTCTCCGGCTCTCTGGGCCTCAGTTTTCCTGCCTGCACCCTAATGAGGTGCCCTGCCATCGCACCTAGACAGGTCTAGATAAACATCCTGTCCATGCCTTTTCCCTTTACAAGCTGCCTCTTCTCTCTGGCCGGTCAGCGAGCCTCTGCCTGAGTGTCGTTCTTGTCCCACCGCTGTGGGCACATGCCGACTGTCCCCCTTCTCCTTTGGGCCTTTGCCACCAAGGCAAGCACCCAAGTCTTTTGGCCAGTGGCCTAGTTGAGTCCCCTGGCCAGGCACCACTACCAAGCCCCACCGAGGAGGAGCTGGGACAAGATTCCCTTTCAGGCCGCGTGGACGACGCGCCCTGCACAGTGTGCGCGCTATGCACGGACCTTGCGCGGCCCACACCCAGCCGGGGCACAGAATGGGCAGATTGTTCTCTCCCGGGGCGATTATGCAGCTCAGTTACTATAAATTGACACAATGCACGCTTTATCCCGCAGCGTCTCAATGAGCATACAGAACTGTTCCCATTGCTAAAACGGGTGCGTGCCTGGAGAATGGATTGTGATGAATCATGGAAGCAATTCTTACTGAAATCAATGTCTCATTATCCGGTAATAACTGAGGCACAGAGATTTCTGTCTGAAAGAGAACGCCTCGCAGGTGATGGTTGTAACTCCACCATGAAGTGAGCAGGGTGTGGAGGGGGCCTGGCTAGCCACAAAGATGGGGGTGGGAAGAACAGTGGCTCCCAAAGACAGGACTCTACAGATGGGGGTGCTCCTCCCACCTTGCCTGGTGGCTTCTCCAGACCCCAGACAGATGCTGGGATGGGAAGGGGAAAGCACATCTTGACCTTCAAACCCTCAAAGAGGCCATACACCTGTTAACCGAGGCTGAGGAAGGAGGATGACAGGCTCCAGACCTCCATAGAGTGATGTCTTGTCTCCGCAGTGGGAAAAACAGGTGTTTTGCAAAGCTCTTGGACCACATCTTACACACTCCTGCCCCGGAGCTAACCTTCGGCTGGTGTGATCTGCTCCAAGGAGCTCCCACCCCACCTCATCCCAGCCTAGTGAGAGCCACAGCTGGGCAGCTCACCGCCAAAATACAACAAACCAAAACCAAAACAAACACAGGCTGGGACCAGAGGGCAGGACTCTTTGTCCCAGCTATCTCCTGGGCTGGCTACCCACCCAGTGATCACCTCTCTGGCTCTCTGGGCCTCAGTTTTTCCAACTGTGCCCCAATAACACATCACACACACACACACACACACACACACACACACACACACAACCTAGAGTCAAAAAGATCCACAAAGAATCTGGAAACAGTGCCCACCAAATGATGTAGACAGAAACAAGGCGGGAGTGTAGCCATCTGTGACTTTAGATATGAGCTTCCAGGCCTCAGAGCAACCCGGAGGACCTCACTTCATTTCCACAGCCCAGGAGGGTAGAGCACAGCCTCCCCTCCCATCTCAGAGCTGACGCTGACACCGTGCCTATGTTCCTGCAGGAACCTACACGTGGGGAGTTAACTTGCGGGTGGGGAACCTCAATCTGAGCACAACTTGCAGCTCACTAACAAGACACATCCCTCCCAGGACATCCTCAGTGTCACCTCAGTCTGTCACTCCGTTACTTTAGCCTCAGAATGTTCTCTAGCCTAAATGAGCTTGGGCTATTAGACCCACATGATGCTGCCAGAATCACTGTTTTTTTTTTGTTTGTTTGTTTTTTTTTTTGTGTGTGTGTGTGTGTGTGTGTGTGTGTGTGTGTGTGTGTGTGTTGTGGTACTAGGGATTGAACTAAGGTCTTATAGTCCTGGGGGATTCTACGAAAGTGCTCTACCACTGAGCCACACCCCACCCCTCACTGGGGGATACTAGGCAGGGGCTCTACCACTGAACCACACCCCACCCCTCACTGGGGGATACTAGGCAGGTGCTCTAACACTGAGCCAAACCCCAGCCCCTCACTGGGTTATTCTAGGCAGATGACCACTGAGCCACACCCCAGCCCCTCACTGGGGGATTCTAGGCAGGGGCTCTACCACTGAGCCACACCCCAGCCCCTCACTGGGGGATTCTAGGCAGATGCTCTACCACTGAGCCACACCCCAGCTTCTCTCTGAGGTATTCTAGATAAATGACTACCCCTGAGCTACATCCCTGTCCTCTCTCCCCTTTCTGAGACAGAGCTTCCCTCATCAGTCCATGCTGTCCCCTCACAGGGTAAAACTCTCCTTTTGCAGCCTCCAGGGGCCTGGGATTAAGGCATACCCTACCACCCAGGCATCAGAAACATTCTTGAGTTGAAGGTGACTTCCTTGTTTGTCTCTGACGAAGACCTGAGGTGACATCTGTTGTGTCACAGGCACACCTGTTGGCGCAGCAGAAGCAGGTGTTGCTGAACGCATTTCCCCAGAGGCTGCTCTGTCCCCGCCACACTTCTGTCCCCATGTGTCATCCTGGGCTGAGTCATAAGTACAGATGCTCTCAGGGTTGGGAGAGGTGAGTCCCTGCTGGCAAGTCGCCAATGGGCTCTCTCCTTGCAGCACTGGGGAAGTCCCTGCCCCCCAGTGGCTACCCCAAGTGGGGGGAAGGAAGGAAAGCCAGCTTCCCCGGAGCCTCTGGAGACAGGACATCCCAGCTGGACCGCTGTGGCGGTGACGTTTTCTCAGCTTCGCTCCCCAAAGGAAGAGTGAGTGTGGCTGGCCTGGGACATGACCAGGGGAGCAGGGACCCTCCCTCACCCTGGAGCCTTGGGCCTAGGGGATCCCCCACAGTGTCAGAGGAATGCATTGTGTCCTCCAAGGCCCTCTGGAGGACAAAGGGCCATCCTTCTGTGCACACTGGCCTCTGTCACAGCTCCCCCACCCAGCTGGTACGCAAAGGGGCTACTCTTCTTTGGTTCCATTTTTTTTGTTTTTTCTTCCTTTAAGAGAAAAATGGTGGGAGGCCCCACTGGGCGACATTATGCCACACTCAGGGCCAAAGGTCTTCCAGCTGAGCTGGCCGCCCTGTCCTGCCTGCCTTCCTCCTTCCTGCCTGTCCCTGCTCAGCCCTGGTGCAGTGAGCGACCCTCTGACCCAGGCACCTTTTCGCCCCAGGAAGTCTGCAAAGGATGACCAATTCCCATCTGCAGCGGCTCTTCCAAATAGCAGAGACTTGGGCCACAGGCAAGCGAGACAGAGATACAAGCCTGGTGTGGTGGCCCACGCCTCCTGAGCTTAGCCCCTGAGAAACTGAGTCTGGGAAACTGAGAACATAAAGCTAGCCCAGGCTAGAGTGCAAGACTCTGTCTGAAAAAGAAAAATCAAGGCTGAGGAGATGGCTTGGTTGATAGAGGCCTTGCAAGCAAGAATCTGTGAATTCAAGCCCCAGAAGCCATATAAAATGGCTGGGCACAGTGACCTGGGTAGGTAACCCCAGTGCTGAAGGGGAGGGGCGGGGTACAGACGGGCAGATCTCTGGGGTTCATTCGCTGACTGGCTATCCTAGAAGAATCAATGCGGTTCAGGCTAGTGAGAGACTGTGTTAACAAAGCAAGGTGGACGACAGGATGACTCAGCAGGGAAGCACTTGCCGTGCAAGCCTGGCGGCCGAAACTCAATCCCTGGAGCTCAGCAAAGGTGAAAGGAGAGAACTGACCTCTGACCTCCATATATGTGTGGTGTCAAAGGCACCACTCCCCACACACCTCACACCTGCACTCACACATACATGCAGGCGTGGTATAATAAATAAAGTTAAATTTCTGAAACAAAGAGGATGGGGCCTGAGGAATGATGCCCAGCCTCCCTTGAATGTGCACTCAACATGGACACACGCTCACTGCTCACGTGTGTGTGGACACACACACTGGAAAAAAAAAAAAAAAAAGAGAAAGAAAAGCCATTTTTTAAAAAAAGTACTCTGAATTTAGACTCCTGGAGTGGCCTGGCCTCTGCATATTTTAGGGGACTCATGGCAAGGCTTGATCGTGAGCCACACACCCAGGTGGCTGGTGGCAGAAGGTCTCCTGTAGAGTAAAGTCCTGCAGAGCCTCCAAAAGCTGCTAGACTCCTGGAGCAGCAGGACTCCAGGACCCAAGAACATCACCCTCTTGGAACAGACAGACCAAGGTTGCCAGGAGCCCAGGGGGGCCCAGACTGGGGCAGGACCAGTTCTGACTCCTTTCTCAAGCACTCCAAATCAAGTGGGCAGGATAGCAGTGGGGAAGAGAAGGTAAGGGTGATCACAAGAGCCAGGCCTGGGGGCACGGGGTTGTCATCCTTGGCCAGTTCCTCGGAGCACTCCTAAGTAGTCACCAGGCCAGTGAGGGTCCCCCTCATTGAAGCCGAACCTTCCTGGGTGTGGCCCTCACTCACTCTTCCTCATGCTCACACGCAGTCCCAGAATCCCAGGTCAGGTCAAGACCCCCCAGTCTGGAGTTTGCCCCAGTGTGAACCCCACAGTCTCCCCTAAAAGAATGGAGTCACAGGAGATCTGTGCGAGTCCAACAGCCCAAGA